ACATAGACCATAGCTTCGCTAACCCAAAGGGAATAGTCCGGTCTTTGATCCAACCGTCATGGGCAAGGCGGAATCGAACAGAGCGGCTATCGGGGCAATAAGAGCAAGAACATCCAAGAGCAAGGTCCACTTCTTCCAACACTCATGCCACGATGAAAGACGGGGCATCGGAAGGAGCGACACTCAAGAACACCAAGTGCGTAAGCCACTCGTAGGGTACCCGACCTGGGTGCACTGGCACTGAGATATCTCTCGGATTCGAAGCGGTGCGGTTGTCACCACGAGAATCAGAGAAACATGATGGTCAAACGGGGTACAAGCATACAAGGGCTTGAGCACGAAGAAGTAACTAAAAGCAAAAGAGAGGCATAACTCCATGGTCATGGCGAGGTGAACTCGTGGCCACAAGCTTATGCCAACGAGTTGGCATCCATCGTTCCATGATTGTTATCTCCCAGGTCATCTCCCACATAACTTGGTCATGGAAGGCTCAAGGCGTGCGGGTGATATCCGCATCGATGTTAGTATCGACATCGAATCCATCACGACCATGTTCTAGGGCCGAAGGCAGGAGCTAACACTCGTGGTACTATGAAGTCAACTAAAAAGCGAGGGGTCGGGTTACACTCGGCATCACGATCATGGCGAGACGGATCCCGCGATCGTAACATCCGAACGAGGTACAATCTCTCAGCCGGTTCGAAGGCTCGGCACACAGGCAACAACACCAACAACCAGCGATAAGAACCAAACATGACCGAAAGACGCAACGACTCGACATGATTGTGGAGTAGCACTTTCCATAGCTAGGAGATGAAGGGTCCTGTAAGACAGGCATGGACAGATAGGTTGTAAGAATAGGGCCCAACAAGATAGATATGCGTATATGGAAAGATGCGAGATGGGGCTTTCCATGGTCTCGGTAAGTCATATGACTAAGGTTCATGGTCCAGAGGGTACGACTTGCGGTAGACGGGGTCACGGTGGTCTCGGCAACAGTGGTCTCGGCAACGGTGGTCTCGGCAACGGTGGTCTCGGCAACAGTGGTCTCGGCAACGGTGGTCTCGGCCACGCGGCTCAGCGTAGGCCTGCCTGTGGGCGCGCAAACGGTGGAGGCGATGTGGTTCCGAGGCTCGTGTGACAGCGTGCGAAGGCACGGCCGCGCGTCTCCACATGCTAGTGCGCGTGCACAAGTCCACATATCGTGGCGGGTGTCCACAAATGGCGGGGGCGAAGCAAGGCCGGTCTCTAGGGACAGTGTGCGGGCGTGAGTCTGTGCGATAGCTATTGGTCACGAACGTGGTGGCAAGGTTAGAGATCACGATGGTGTAGGAAACAGTTAAAAAAGAGCGTGGTGTCGGACTCGCCACGGCATCACACCATGGTCCATGGCAGCGGGTGGCTGTGGTAGCAAGGCAGAGGACGTGCCGGTGCGGAACAAGGCCACGGTGGTGCGTGAGAACGTGGCCACTTGTTGGAAAAAGCCAATGGTTCAAGCTTGTGTTCGTAGGGGTGCACAGGCATTTGGCTGTCGTGCGTGTGCGCTCGACCGGCAGCCATGGCGAGCGGTGGTGCTCTGATGACGACTTCAGCCATGGGCATGGTGGTGGCTTGTGCTGGTCTCAGGCTTCACTTCTCTACTTGGTAGAATAGGGAACTGGAGACGAACGCCTCTGTGTTCCTGGCGCAACCACACGCGTGCACGGGACGGCGAGTCCGACGACCGGTGGTGTCGCCGGTGACGGCACGCGTCTTGCCCCAGTGGCTTGCTGGAGCTCGGCGAGATCAAGTTTGGGTCTTGGGTCAGTGGTCAGGGTCGCGAGTGCGATAGCGGAACCAAAAGCCATGGGGGTGCAGGGGCCCGGCGATATGGCATCCGCGTACAGGTGCTATTGGACGTGCGTGCGTGACGGTGGCTAGGAGGCTCTGGGCTCATGCGGGTACAAGGAGCGTGGCATCCACGATGTTCTACGGCTGGCGGCTAAGGGCTACAGGCGATAGCCGTGACCGTGAGGGCGAGGCCTTGGGTCGACTAAGGCGAAGAACGCCTGTGCGTGCATGTGTCTAGGCCAAGGTCAGGGCTGTGAGCGCGACGGAGGGATCAGAGGCCCGATGGCTGTGTGGAGATGTCGCGGTGCTGCAGCTGGTACCGCGTCGTGGCATTGTGCAGGGTCACGACGAGGTCCGCCGGCGGCGTGACGCCGAGGCAAAGCGGAGCCTTGCCCGATGAAGGTAGGGGTTGTACGGGCCTTGGCAAGGCAGGGGCCGGCTGCTATCGTGCTGTGCATGTGCGGTGGGCTGGCAACGGTGAGCATGACCAGCCAGTGCTCGCATCCGTGCCTTCGCGAGCTGTGTTCATGCGATGGCTAGGCGAAGCGGAAGCTGCGGCGTGTGCGGAGGCGCCGGGTCACGGGCGTGTGCAAGGCTATGCCTTGGCCGTGAGGGCGGTGAGGCAAGCACGGTGTAGTGACGCTAAGGTCGTGCGGCGGCCGAGGGTGGCTACCGGCGTGGATGCGCTTTGCGTGTATAGCCCCGGTGGTGTGTGGTTGTGCCTGTGTAGGTGTGTAAGTCTGTGGACGGGGCAATCTCGCCCTCGCGCCGTAGCTCGATCGGCATGCGGGGCGCAGGGCATCGCGGATACGTGGTGACCGGTTGCGTTCCCGGGCGCCATTGACCCGGCAAGGCAAGGCCGTGGCCGTGTTCGTGAGTGCGCATGTGTGTCCTAGAGCGGGGTAGCTCCGGAGTCAAGCCGACGTCGAAGGCCGGGACAGGGTCGGGGCTTGGCGTGGTCGCGGCCGTGGACGAGGCGGTGCTCCGGTGGTGCACGGGCAGACATGGTCAGCAGCTCGAAGGCCGGTCAGGCAGGCGACTGGGCATCAGACAAGGGCGGGGTTTGGGGAAGGCTCACCGGTGGATGTGGTCGAGGACGTAGTCGTGGACGCGCCGTTGTCGTGGTTGATGCGGTTCGGCAGGGGCGTCGAAGTGCGCTTGCGGTCGCTGCGACGCAGGTCAGCAGGTCGGTGTCGTGAGGCGGTGCTGCAGCGCTTCCGGTGCTTGGCTCGTCGTGGGTGGCGCTCCAGCGCGGCGGTCGCGGCTGCGCAACGAGGAAGGGCCCCTGGACGACGAAGACTTGGTGACGCAGCGGTGTGCGTCGGCGTTCGCCGTCCGCATGGTCGAGGTCGTGGCGAGGACGGGTGGCGTCGCGTGCTGGCGTGGACGCGACGAGCGCGGCGACGGCGGACGCATGACGCGTGGGCGCGGCGCAAGGGCGCGGCGTCGCGTGCTGGCGTGGATGTCGTCGCCGTGGCGAGGCGCCGGCGGCTGCGCGGGCTCGAGGTGGAGGGCACCGGTGTGACCTCGGTGGTGCAGCTGCGCGGACGTCGCGGACGCAGCGAAGGTCGAGCTCGGCGCCTGGCCGGGGACGACGACGTCGTAAGGCGGACCACGAGCTCGTGGCGGTCTTGGCGATGACGTGCTCGGAGTGGTGCGGCTCGGTCGCGACACTGCGGAGGACGAGCTCAGCGCTGACGACCGTGGCTGGGAAGTGGTGGGCAGCACCACGGGTGCCGGTGGCGTGGCCATGGTGGTCGGGCGTGGCTCGTCGCGGGAGAGGAAGAGGAGCATGGGGGCGGCGGCTGCTGGGATTTGGAGAGGGTGCCGGCTGGTTCGGTGTTTATAGGGCGAGCGGCTAGGGCTTCCGGGGGCTCCGTCCATCCTCGACGTCCGTGCCCGAGGAGGGACACGCGGCGCGAATCAGGGAGCGGAGCAGGTGAGGCACGGTTGAGGGCGCTGGCGTGCGCATCGTGCGGTTCTGCCTTCGCGGGGCGGTGGTGGCGGCTAGGAGTGGCTGCTCCCGCCTAGGGTTGGTAGGGGCGTCAGTTGCTGGCCAGGCTGGGCCACGGCTTGCTGGGTTGGCCGGCTGGCGGCGCCGGTTGGGCCAAGGTGTTGGCGGGGTGGGCCGAAAGGAGGCATGGCGAGCGGGCTGGCGGGGCAGGCTGGCTGGGCCTGCTGGCGCCGGGCTAGGCCAAGGGAAAGGGACGGTGGGCTTTGGAGGAATAAAAGGGAAAATGATTTTTCCTTTTATTGATTCAAGGAATTTGAAATGAATTTTAAAGAGAGATCACGTGGAATATAAAGAGAAGTGAATTCCAAGGGGAGTTCAAAATAATCAGAGAGGTGTGATTTTACTGATTTAGGATCAAATGAGTTCAAAGAAATGTGACGGGGATTTATGAGATGTTCCAAAAGGAAATTAAGAGGGGTTGCTATGGATTTGTGCACTCCAACAAAAGATCTTCGGCAAACTCCTACAAGTAATTCTATATGTATGCAACAATTTATTTATAAATTGTTCTTAGTTCGATCTAGCATCTACATGCTTCACATATTGCAGGAAAAATTTTAAAAAGTTTATATTTTTGGCTTCTCCAAAAACCCGGATTGTTACAGTTTCTACCACCAAAAACCTAACCAGGCCAGTTGAGACTCAGTTCACAACCCTAAAAAAATCCTAGCTTCTATATTGCCAATGTATGAGAGAATGATTGATATGTCCAAAGACCTGAATTTATGACCGAGTTTATGTCAAAACGATAGATACATAACCTATACGCTCATGGAGTAAGAGAGCTATCGCTTTGCTCAGGCGACGCGTCTTAGACTCTGCATCAAGTTGGGTGAAGGGGAGCAAGAAACTTCTGTCTCGTGGGCACGTACTGCTTGCTCTGCGCCTTATACTCTCCAGCTCCTCTCTGCTTCGTGGAGCAGGTCTTGGTAAACATATATACGCCAATATACGCGTTGATTCGCACAGAGGCATCTCGGTGCAGTGCCAAGTCATCATATGCATCATGCATGGCAACACGCACTTTACATACACGTATATATATCGTGGATTGTTTGTGCAGTCGTGCTCGTGCCCTAGCTCTGGTTCGCTGCATACCACACAACACAGCCAGCGTTGCTCATCAGCCGGTTCTTCATCTTCTTCGTCGTCAGTAATGGGGGCTTTTCTATCTGTATCCGGCCACGGCCACTCCTCCCACCCCGAGCACTGCGCTCGCTTTAATCGCGTCGACCGCAACGACTCCCCGCCGTCGCCGTGCAGGATGTGCAAGCTGAACGTGGAGACCGGCGCGGCGGCCTATCGCTGCTCGGAGCCCGGCTGCGACGTCGTCCTCCACGACGCCTGCTACTGACGCCCGACGACGCTCAAGCGCCACTTCGGGCACCCGCAGCACCGCCTCACCCTGGGCGCCGACACCCGCGCCGGCCTCTCGTGCAGCCTCTGCGCCCAGCCGCTCGGCACGCCAACCGTCGCCTACAGCTGCGCTCACAGCAGGTGCGCCGGTTTCAGCGCTCACCCGCGCTGCTGCAACCTCCCGAGGAGCATGACCACGCCGCCGGACCTGCACGAGCACACCAGGCTTGTCCTGCGCCCTCCGTCGGCGCCGGGTGGGAACGGCAGCAACAGCGAGGCGCGGCCGCGGCGAACATGTCTCAAGTGCGGGAAGACGGCCACGACCGCGGGGTGGAAGGCCGCACCGTGGTCGTACCAGTGCCCCAAGTGCGCCGGCGTGGAGTACTGTCTCGCGTGCGTGCTCGGCAACGACGACGGTAGCACCGTGCGGTGCTGCTGCTTGCCGTGCTGCGCCGTCGACCCTGCAGCCGTGCACTGTGTTGGGTATTTGGCCGGGGCGCTCTTGTGTGGGTTCTTGTCTGGAATGGGATGCCCGGGCATCCCAACTCAGCCGTACCCCGGCGACATGGAACTTACTCCCAGATACCGAACGTGATTGTGGAAATCTAGCAAAAAGCTTTAATTGGTGAACAAGTGTGATTGCAAAATGAATGTTTTTCCCATCTACACCCATATATATGTGTAAAATTGGTGGACGAGTCTGTATATGATGCCATCCAGTTTTCTGCAATATTCAAGACAACCTAATTTCCAATATGATTACAACAGTCGGTGACGGTTATTAGTAACAACTGTCAGTTTTATTAGTGACCTGTAAGGTATAACTGTATTGGTATTTGGTCATGGTAGGTGTTTCCAAGAAATGTTGATAAAATTTGAAATATTTGTCCTAGCGAAATGTTACTCAAATTTGTAGGTAAAGTTTGAAGTATTTCTACCTAAATTTTTCTAGTATTAGCTACTGATAAGTGATAACAAAGCCACTGCTTCTATGTTCGTGGAACCCAATTAGTAATGTTTTCATACGGAGAACAACATTAATACCGTTACTTTTTCCTCAAACACGCAAAAAAAAAAGTGTTTTGCTTTCCTCGAAGGAGAACAGTTTGAATACAAGCCATAGGAACAGCAAAGTTAGGGCACTTAGCTTCCAACAAGAAATTGCTATAAGATAGTTTCCATACTTACCAAGATATACTAAACAAAGAAATAATATATATTTCCAGTAGATGGTTTCTTCATAATTAATTTTTATCCAATCACATGTCTTCTCTCTCTTATCCACCTGTCACATTTCTTCCTATCTTCATTCTCACGTATAGACATAGTTTTTTTATAAGAAACAATTTCCTTTTTCTCTGTTCCTTAATTATAATGTCATCACCATTTTATTTAGTTTGCACCATAACTAATAGGTATAGAAATCATCCTAATTTCTGGGTTGAGATAACGGCCATAATGTCATTAGATGTTTGCATACAATAGAGTTCATTCCAAAGACAAAGGAAGAACACGACCTAAAGCAAACATTAAAAATCACATCACGTAATCAAACCGTACCGCTCTTAGGAGGTGTGTAGAGCCTACGAACCACGCGCACAGATACACGATGGGCAACGAAGAGGAATAGGATAACGCGGGAGATTTTAATTTCCAAATGGCATTATAACTAGGTATCACTACTGGAGGCCGCGGCTTTGCCGAGTGTTTTTACACTCGGCAAAGAGCCCTTTGCACTCGGCAAATGCTTTGCCGAGTGTAGCACTCGGCAAAGTCCGCTCGGCAAAATTTTTCTCGGCAAAGGGTCTTTGCCGAGTGTTTTTATCCGGGCACTCGGCAAAATAAAAAAAAATTTGCCAAGTGCTTGGAGCGGCACTCGGCAAAATATTTTCGGCCATTGCGGCGCCGACCGTTAATGGTTATTTTGCCGAGTGCCCGACTCAGCACTCGGCAAACTTTTTTTTATTTTTTTTAAAAATTACTTTGCCGAGTGCCCTAGCCCAAGCACTCGGCAAAGTTTTTTTTTTTTTTTTTAAAAAGTACTTTGTCGAGTGCCCCTGCCCAGGCACTCGGCAAAGTTTTTTTTTTTTTTTTTAAAAATTACTTTGTCGAGTGCGCCTGCCCAGGCACTCGGCAAAGTTTTTTTATTTTTTTTAAATAATTTCTTTGCCAAGTGCCCCTGTTTAGGCACTCGGCAAAGAATTTCTGAATTTTTTTTAAAAAAAATACTTTGCCGAATGCCGCGGCAAGGCACTCGGCAAAGAAATTATATATATTTTTTTTGAAAAATCTTTGCCGAGTGCCTTTCCCATGGCACTCGGCAAAGACCCTGAGAATTGCAAAAAAAAATTTACATTCCATTGTAACAGACAATATATATATATATATACATCAATCATCACATCTATATCACCAACATGCATCATGCATTATATATCACAAGCACACGCATATTTAATAAATCCATCGAAAATCCATCACAAATGCACCAAAGTTCAACATCACAAGTTTATTATTATAAGTTCAACATCACAAAGTTCAACATCCCTACTGCGGCGACGGAGACTGCAGGTGTGGCCCCCCGGACTGCGGTGAAGGACCGGACTGCGGCGAAGGGTTGACGCGATCAGCCGCCGGTGACACGGTAGCGGGATTGTTTGAACCCGCTGATGGAGGCTGCACAAAAGAGAAGATATTGCATGTGTTAGACTCAAAATTAAAAATATCGACAGCACCTCCCCTGCACGGGGAGGTTTCCAACCTGCAAGAAACAACGGCACGAAGGCCGACAATCACAATGGCACGAAGGCCGACAATCCCAACGGCACGAAGGCCAAATATCACAACGGCACGAAGGCCGATAATCCCAACGGCACGAACGCATTAAACTTTCATACTCACAGGAGTGAAGTGTCGAATCGGAGCTGGAGCTAGCAACTGCACTTGGACACCCGATGCTTGCCCGATGGTTTGCATGATCTGATACATGTCCGCCATCTGCTTCTTCGTGGCCTCCAGCTCGGCGGTCAGGTGCGCTTGCGTCGTCTCCCTTGTCTCTGCCAGCTCGGCCTACAGTGTTTCAATCACATGTTTCAGTATTGCAAATCTGATCAATGTGTGTAACGTTCAATGTATGACGAGTGAAACCAGAATTACCTGAAGTTTGTCGACCCGCGACAGTGTTGGAGTAGGCCATGCACGTATGGGAAGGCTTCTGGCCGTGCTCTGTGCCCTCACGTCGGAGAGAGAGGGTGCAGAGCTCGAGGGGTCGGCGCCGTCTGCAATCCACAACCGCCCGTGCTTCTTGCCTTGCCCCAGCCTCACGATCACCTCTGTCTCAAGGGGCTCAGTGCTCAGATTGTGATCTGAGCCACAGAGCGCCCTAACCGCCTCCGCATAGTCTCTGACCTTAGCGTGGACGCTCGGGTCAGAGTAAGCCTGAGCAGTGGCATCCGGGTTGAAGACGACACCGGATTTCATCGGGCCCATGTGGGACACAGCCCATGCCCCAAACTCTGACACCGACACGTCCGGGTGTGCCACCTTCTGCGAGAAAGACGGCAAGATGATTAGAAATCAGGCAAAATTGAGCGTTAGAATAAATAAATGACATCTTGTACAAGTGCCCGCTTGAATGCGGGGAGGTTGCGGCTGCCTTGGTGGTGAGTTGGACCGATCCTCAGTGCCCGCTTCCGCTTGCCTTGCTCGTGCTTTGCGATGTACGCTGGGTCAAGGTGCCTGTCCACGATCCTCGACCATGCCGATCTATGCGACATGCACCACGAGGCCGGCACCTACACATCATCAAGTGTTTGACATATAAGAAGATCAATTCTGGACCTACTAAATCTCAAAATGAATCAATATTATTCACCTACCTAAAGGTACTGCTCCTTGGTCAGCGCCACCTTTCTTGCGCCGGTTTTGTTGAGGGGCTCTTTCTTGATGGACCTGTAGTAGTCGACGTGGGCCTGGAGTCGCGCCTCATGAATCATGTCGCCGATGTACTCTTAAAAGGCTCTGTGTGCCGTCTGATCCGCCAGGGTCTCTCGACCTTCTTCGGCCTTGAAGTACCTCTGCATACAAACATGATGTATCCGTTCATTATTTCAATAAAAGACTTAACCAATGGAGGAGATGTATTGAGCTATGTTGTGAGACACTTACCCAAAAGTCCGCCAAAACCCACTCCTGCTTGTTGTCCTGCTCGTCATCCGAGCCGAGCTTGTACCTGTCCCACGACCAGGCCGGCTCCCACCTCCCCTCTTTCAAGTCCACAAGGTCAAAAGTGTTTCTGCCACGTACATCCTAGGATGGTAGCGGGGTGCGTGGGGGTCAAGAGCACCCGACAGAACTAGACAGCCCCCATAAGTGATTAAGAAAAATTATCAGTTTCTCTTTTGATTTTCAACGTATCATATGAAGTACTAGTGATAACATCTATAGTTACTTACCTTCTTCCCACAGGACGAACCAGTGGGCGTCGGTCAGGAAGCGGAACCGGAGGAAGGCTTGTGGGACCTCGTAGGTAGGGAGCCGACTGAGCAGAACTGTCCTCCGTCTGCTGAGTCCCCTCGTCCCCCGACGGAGTGTCTGTGGTCATGCCCGTGGCCGCCACGTCTTCCTCCGGGGTAGGAGACGGGTCCTCCGGCTGGTCGAGAGCTGGGGGAGGAGGCGGGTCCCTCCTAGGGCAACCCCGGCCCCTCCCCCTCCCCCTCCCCCTCCTCGTGCTGGGGCGACCCGGGCCTACTCTCGCCGCTGGGGGCGAAGACATCCCCTCGCCTCCATCAGGAGGGCGTAGCCTCTGGTACACCGAGAGCACCTGCCTCGGTGAACGGTTGCCCACCATCTTTGTTCTGTCACCTACAATGTACAAAGAATGAACAACAAGCGTTAGTACATACATGTCAAATAGTTCAAAATGAATAAACATAACAAAATTTAATAAAAAACATAGTATTACATGGTTTAGGAATAATCTTCATGATTGGGGTCATAGGTCTCATCATCACTGTCAAAATTGTCCAAATGGGCAACACTATCCGAAGGTTCTGTGTCTTCTTCATTGTCTTTGCCTAAATGGAATCGCTCAAGCATTTGAATGTCCTTTGGATTTAGCACTATATCTCCAGGGTCCTCGTCATCAACCGTTTCATTGTCTACTTCCATGGCAGTCGTCACACCGGGTAAGACTATCTCAAAGCTCCCTTGTAGCCCATCTGCTTGATAGAACTCTCCATCATATGTGATTGTGTCGAAGGTGTAATCTTCATCATTTGGAATAGGTAGTTTACCGTGCGAAGATACCTGGTGCACAATAGACCAACCCTTAAGATGGTCTTTGTCTTGGCATGCATATGGCGTATGATACACCTGCACGGCCTGTTGAGCCACAATATAGACATCTTTTCCTTGATAGACGGAATCATGCCTAATCTCGACTAGCCCAAGATGAGGGGTCCGTCTCGTTCGTCCAGGATCAAACCAGTGGCACTTGAATATGACAGGAGTAAGAGGTACCCGGCCCTCATATTCAAGTTCATAGATCTCCTCAATTATTCCATAGTATTCGACACCATTAGTGCCCGGCGTAAA